GAAATATGAATGTTATTTTAGTTTATATGTATATTTAGTTTATAGCTAATTTAAAGAAAACAATTGTAAAGCAAATATTTCTCTATAGTTTAACTAAAATGTTTGGAAATAATGATCAATTAAAACATGCAATTTGTTTACTTAGAATTATTTAGTTATAATTGAAAACAAACAATTAAATAAAACATATCTAAGTACTTAAATGAATTCCAATTAATAAAATATATTGAAAACCCCCGCAAATAAAAATTAAACAGAAAAGAAAAAACAGACTTAAAAAGCTTTAAACGCATGTATGTAGGTGTCAGTCACTTAAAGATTAATGCAAGGTAAACTTTTATTACCGAAACACAAAAACATCAATTGCAGTTGCAGTTGCATTGCAGCAACAGTTACAGTTGCCACTCGAACCAAACAAACATACGGAGGAAAACAACACTCTGGAAATGTTAAAATATTTTATAGTTTTTTGGTATGCCAATAACTAAATGACGGCGCTTAAACATTAACGGACGCGTATAATAGACGCTTAATTATTATTTATTACGCGAAATTGGTGCAAAACTGTTTATTTTTTTGTCGTTACAGGCTGGCTGTTCAAATTACTGGCTGCTTGGCTGTGGTTTAACCAAAACTGAAGTGTTTGCATACCAATACAACGTCCATTTGTTGGACGAACAAGCAAACCCCATTTATTGTATGCTGTTAACTTGTGAGTGTTCAAACTTCAAATTGGCTGCAATAATCTGAAATTTAAGAATAAGGGTGCCCCCAGCAGCCGACACCTGTGTGCTGATATTTATTTTTAACAATTTCAAAATTTACAATTATCTATCTGCCTTGGCTTATAAAGTGATACAAACGGATACACAAACCAACAACAAATGAAACAAACGGATATACAGACAGACATACTGCCCGACAAACTGACACACAAACCAAATGAACAGCATTTATCAGACCAGGGCACCTGAATGTTTCGTTGTCGTACATTGTTCCAAAACAAAACTAGACAAAAAAATATGATAATAATAATTTCATTGTTTCGATTACACAACAATCTTATAAAAGTATAAAGTAGTAAATCGTAAATCAGACTTTATGCTCCGACACTGACACGTTACACGGTTGGACACAGTGTTGCAAGTACAGGTTAAAAAATGATTTATTTTTCAATTTAATAAAAAATTGTATTTACAACAACGAACAAATTCAATCATCATTTGTAAACAATGAGAATATGGGTGTGTAGCAGAGATTTGTATTTATTCGACACAAACGTCTAGAACCTTAGATTTCATAATCGCATGTTTTGCTCTACATTAATCGATTTTCTAATTTTCACATAGAAAATTATTAAAAGAAATTAAGTTTGGTTTTCAAACGTTTTTTTTTTTTTTGAGGTAATCTTTATGCGGTCTATTGGACCTAGGGGATCATTTAAAATCTACTAAATCGTCTCCCCTTTCTCAAAAAATGTAAAACACATATTCAGTCGGCATGTGAAACATTTTCAAACCGAAAACATTTTGTGTTTGTTATAACTTACACCACTATAGTTGGGAGGGTATTATTCGTTTGTGCCGATGTTTGTAACACCCAAAAAATATTGATCCTACACCCACCTTTAAGTATACCAATCTGTTCAGAATCTCTTATAAGTCGATTTAGATTTGTCCGTCCGTCCGACAATTTGATGGAATTTGGCCCAATCTCTTCTTTTGACCCAAAGACGAAGCATATTGAAAATAGTCAAAATCGGTATTATTTCGCTGGCCCCATACAACCGTACTCTCCGAATAAGGCTTTTAAACTCATAATTATGTTAAATGTTCCAATATCTCTACAAAAATAGGCAAAACTTAGTTTTATACACATTAGGCCCCAAAAAATTTCCCCTTCAGAAAAAGACTTGAACACACAGAAAACAGATCGATTGGAAATCGGTTACCATGATAAATATTTAGTTAAATTAATTAAAATTGTATCGCTGTTATTGAAAAACTGTATAATTAACCGATTTTCTATACTCAGTATTAAAAAACCATAATAATAATCAAATTGTGGTTTTAACTTTTCCAAATCAATAATTTGAACTGAATTGTATCGGTTATTAAATTCTTTTGTTAATTCAGTAAATGCAGCCGAATTTTATTTAGGATTAAAACTTTAGAACGTCAAATATTAGTCGCTGTAACCGAAAATCAGTAGAAAGTAAAAAATATTGATCATTGCAACCAATTATCAATTGGGAAAATTATTTAAAAAACTATTGCGGTTAAAGGAACCAAATTCGGTGTTCACAACCGATTATTTGATAATTATAGTTGACGTTAACAAAAATAAATAAAATAAAACGAATTTATAATTTTAAAAAAATCTAATTACATTTGAAGATAACTTAATGCTGATAAAAAAAGGTAATGTTTAGTCCATTATATATCTTAAAATCTATTGTGGTCATTTTCAATAATTTTTAATCATTTTACAGCAGCGGAAAAGCGTGGAAAGGTAGCTTTGGAAATGTTGGACAGTATGAAGAGCAAAATCCCAAGTACATACCATCAAAATCTCAAAACAAGAAGGGAAATGTTGCTGGTTTATATTTATAAGTTTGTATTTACATACACACATACATACATACATATTCATATTTTATTGTAAATGTTTTAAACAAAATAAAATTTATTTTAAAATACACATAATCCACAAATTGGTTTTCAATAAATAATATTTCAGTTGCGTATACCGATAATTTCAATCCAGATTACCGAATAATAATTTAAAATAGTTGTGTACACCATATATTCAGTAATAGTAAACGAATTTTACAGTAATTACAATCGAATTATGGCATAGTTGTGAGAACCGACTGAATTCGATTGGAAACAAATTCGGTTGTCACAATGAATCTGTTTTCTCTGTGAAGTTTAAATTTCACTTATAAATAACTTTAATGTACTCGTAAATCCCTTTACCATATAACCCCTAAAAAATCCACATTTTTAACATACTCACTGGTGTAGGGTATCATATTGTCGGCCATGACCGACTATACATTCTTACTTGTATTAATAATCGAAACATGCAACCTTTATTGTTTGTTTTGTCTAATTCTTTTCTTCAGGAATAGAATTTCCTAAGTTGCATGTTTTGGGAAGTACGAATAAGTATCAGAGCTTTAATTTGCATCTGCCCCTGTTTGAAAAATGTAAATATACGGACATACACACACACATATAAATAAACAGTAGATACATTTTATTCTAGGTTAAATGATAAATTGCATGCATTGCTGGAAGTCAATCGTATAAAATCTACGCAGCTGCGTCATGCAAACCTTTTGGAAGTAAACATCGTTGAATTTGATCTCAGTTGCAAAAGCAATTCAAGCTCAGTTTAGAGTTGTATTAAAATGCTTTTTGGGTTCATATTTTATGCACATTTGTATGTGTATATGTCTGAACACAGAAATATGGCATATTCCTCATGCAATCCATCTCTCACACATCGAGTACTTCTAAGATGGATGCGGGGACTTTGGTCATCATCAACATCAGCATCATCACTGTCCTCAACCCCATCCACAGCAACATCATCATAGAAAGAACAACAGCAACAACAACCACTGTGGTGTTGCTACATTGCGGAAATGCAATTTTGTCATTATTTATGGATGTATAAATCGGTCGCATGGCTGAACGATGGATAGTTTTTTGTTTGGATGGATGGTCGTCGAATGAATAAAGGAATGAATGAACGAATGGGATGTTGGAAACATGTACAGGTAAAGCGCTGCAAAAGGGATAGTTTGAAAGCGCATACATGTAGAATTTCAAAATGTATGGATGCATCTATAATACTTATAATATACGAGTACACTGACCAAATACATTTAGATGCACTCTAAGCATTTTCACTTTAAGTTTCGTGGTAATTCAGCCACTATAGCTAACGGTTAAAGTTTTAGAATAATTTCTATTCAAATTTTTATTACCGACATTATATAGCTGCTGACGATGATGACGATCACCAACGTCACTGGCACCACCAGCAGTAGCAGCTTGCAATAAACAGTATTCGCCAGCATTTGTGGCATGAACAGTAACAGTAAGAGTAACAGTAACACCACACCAAACCGAACTACAAGGCAAAATGAGAAAATACACCTCATGCAAGGAGTTACATCCAACTGCAATTCACAGTTGTTTTTTATTTATTTAATTTTTCGATTTTTTTCTTTTTTTTTAATCAAACACAAGAAAACAGATCCGGGCGCGCCTACTTAAAAATTCGTAGCACATCAAATGTGTTCAAACGACAAGCCATTAAGAAAGAGATGCTACAATATACCAAGTGAAGTTGCATGATGCAGACTTTGGAATATGTATTTGTATAAATAAATATACATACATACTTTATACATATTTATTTGTGTGCCAATGGTTGTATGTATGTATTGTTATTTGCAACATTCAAACAGCAAACGGTACACATGTCCAGTATAGCATATAATGTTGTTGTTGTTGCAGTTGTAATTGCCGTTGCAGTCTAAACTGTAGCCGGAGACATGTAAAAAGCTAATTAACAGCCTCATGAAACTAACGAGATGTAAAGCGTACAAGCAACAAGATGAAGCTGGCTTTTTGGAGACACACAAACACACAACACATTAACAATTTTACCAAAGTCTTAGAATTGGTATTTTTACGAGTAAGTGATTCAAGTGATACTCCTAACTGACGAATGGACGGACGGTCAGACACAGTTAGATAATGAAATAAACAAAAAAACACAAGAGATACGATGTACATCAGGTCATCACATGTGGGGTGCTCTCGATCAAATACTATAAATTATTTACAAACGACATTTATTTCATGAAATACTCGTGCACGTGAAGAAAAAAGAAAATATATTTGCCCATTTGTCTACTAAGCATGTTTATTTTGCTCAATAATCTCAATAATTACTTAGATATTTCTATTGCTTGAACTTACCTTTGAATATGACCTTCCACTCCAGGTGGTAAGGCACCATCTGATACAATGTAAACGGGCTGACCACCAGCACCGCCGGGACCGGCATATTGTAGACCACCTTGTACAACGACTTGGCCATCGGCCACTAAACCACTTAAATCGCTGCCAGAATAAATTTCTAAGCCCTTCTGATCCGATGTTGTAGTGTAGATGACTGTTTTGTTGCCATCATTGTAGATCAAATCGATATGTTTATCTGACGGATACATATCGGGGTCCAGTTTGGCACCCATGGGCAAGTGAGACAATTGTTTTGTGTTGCCACCTCCACCACCGCCGCCGCCATCTTGATCAGATGTAGTGTAGATAATTTGGCCTGCATTGTGTTTCTTTTGTTCGTCATAAATGTCAACTTCAGTTTTAACCACTGCCTCGGAGTCATAGTGTTGAAGAACAGAAGCATCCAATGGCGAGGTCTGGTAGACGTTGTGATCATTGGCCAACTTCTGGGCCTGATTAAACATGGCTGCAGCTACAGCATTATCGTTCGGCATCAACTTTGATGGATCACTAACAATACGAGTGAGAATGTGTTCGCCAGCCTCGTTGCGCGATAATATGTGATGTTCTCCATTTATGATTTCTCGCGAAATAATCTGTTGTTGTTCTCCATTTGGACCCACCACGCGTATTATTTGATTCTCATCGAACTCAATCTTGGCCAGAGGTTGGTTCTCGTGAGCTGTTTGTACAGCAGACTGTTGCTGATTTAACTGAGCCACCATGCGAGCATCAATGACATGATCGTCTTGTTGACTGCCACCGGTCATCACCACCTTTGGACTTTCATAGATAAAAACAGCATCCTTATCGTAAAGTTTGGATGAATCTGTGTGCAAGTCTAAAACATTTACATTCGTCATGGTAGCCAATTCCGGCTGAGGACTGTCGGGTGAACGATGCATTGCATTCGGTGATATCAACGGCAAGCCATTGCCCGTTCCAGCACCCGAATTGGCCATACTTGTTGTCACTATATTTCCTGTCGTTGTGCCAGTTGCACCAGCCACCGATACGGAATTAGCACGAGCCGGCGAAAGAGGTGCCTCATTCATGTGTCCACCACGATGATGCATATTGGCTTGGGCAGCCGTCAAAGCAAGTTCGTTAGCAGTTATTACACTTGTTGTAGCAGGCGATGATGACATCTTATGCCAAATGACAAATAGATTCTTAGAATCAAAGTTAAAACAGTTTCTTCTAGTTTAGGATTTTGTTACAAAAAATTGCACTTGTTTCTGGTATCTTTTGATGTGTCAGTTTTGTAGCAACCTCTGCTAAGGATCTAATCCCATTTATATATCGTATGTCTAAATATGGCTCTTAAAAGTAACGAAGGATGTAAAAGTTGTATACGAATATAAAAAATATGCGATGAATATTTGTATGTATGTATTTATGTATAACTTAAACTGCTACGTGTACATAATATTTATGTATATATGTAAGTATGTATGTTTACTAATCGATGTTTATGTAATGTAAGTATAATAATGTTAATTTTAATATAAAAAGAAGGCACTTTAATCTCAGTTTTAATTTCAGTTTCAAAAGGACGGCATTTGTGGTTAAATTTGTTCGTTGTGACCGTTACAAATATGAATATTGAATATTTGATATTTTCAATAAACTTGTTTATACTTTTGTTTGTATTCTGTGGCTGATTTCATTCGGTTTTTGGAATCCTTGGTGGTATGGCACACTTTAAGTTCTCAACTTGTCTCAAATTACATTACCCAGGAAGAGGTCAATGTATTTCTGTATGTTGTTGTAAATGAATTGAACGGGACAGAATCACATCATGATGTACCATGAGAAATCTAAAATTAAAAAGAAAGAAAAGTATTAAAATAAAACCTAAAAATGTATAGTAATCAAAGTCAGGAATGTGTTCTACTTAAGGGTTTGAAACTATAGATTTTCATAAATGTTTATATCAATATATCAATTTTTTTTATTTGGGTGGAGAGTGTTTGGACCAATGACCTTAGACAACTTGCATTGCAGTCCAACATACATATTGCCACAACTTTTGAGTGGGCAATTTTGAACACAGCTGGACATTGTCATGTACATACAATCCCAACATACGTTCCAACTCACTATCAAAGCTTGTTCGATTGGACGGCTGTATAAGCTTCTTTTTTTTCTACCAAAAAGATTGCTGTGCTGTTATTGTTATTCTCTACTTTAAAATTGTTGTTTTCTTTTTCCACTTCATTATTGTACTCGCGTTAAGCTAAACTGCTGCCAAACCAACGCAAACTCACAAATTCCGTTTATTTGACAACTGAGATGAATGGAAATCGGTTCAGCTCAAATTTGTTTTATTTTGTTCGCTGTTGATATTTTTGTTGCCAGTGGCTTCAACAAAAATATCATACATGCCTCTGTAAGTATCACAAGTATATTTCAAACTTCATATTATTCATTCATATGAATGGACTATAAGAAGATTTATGCATAAACTATTTATAAAAAAAGCAACTGCAATATAGTCAATTACAATTTACTCATACCCATATGTGTAACCATATACATACATTTACCGGAAAACAACCTACCAATTGACCATCAAAAAGGCCACACAAGGAACTTTTCAAAACACTTTGTTCATATGCAAGTATTTTGAAAATGCGGACCCGAATGCAGCTCAAATGGCACGTAGTCATGGATACAGCAATTTAATAGTTATGATCAAGCTGAAGATCAATGATGAGAGAGCGAGTTGTTTCAGGCGTAAATTCAAAACAAAAAACATACATGAAATGTTTGTAAATAAAGTAAAGAAAAGATGGCCAGAGCAAAAACAATGAAAAACTAAAAAATCCATCTCTGCCCCAATTGTAATTTTTAGATCTGTAGTTGAAAGAGTGTTTGTTTGAGCGTCTGTGAATATGAAAATAATTTATTTGTATGATACTAAGTGGTGCATATTTAATAACGATTATTAAGCACTAACAACCACTGGCAAACACTTGCCAATGACGATGCCACTACTGCAAGTGCAACATCTTAAAATGTAATAAATATGTGGAAACTTACAAACAACACAAGTTGTCCAAAGAACTCAAACACACACTCACACACATATGTATGTATATAATCTCATAATGAAGTTTAAGCTTTCCAAACCGTTACAATGAATATTTTAAGAAGAATACATATTTTTATTTTTTTACAAATACTTTATTTAAACGAATATACTACATACATATTTATTATATTAATAACATAAACACATATTTGCACTAACACATGCAGCTGAATTAAAGAAGGAGGTGTGATAGATACAACGGACATTGCGAAGCAGAGATAACGGCGCCATTAGCTTAAAAACCATAAAGTTAAAAAAAAAACAAATAATGTTAGCAGCTGAAATTTACATTTAATGCATTCATAGCAAAATTAATAAACAAACGACGAAAAATAAAACAAAAAGAAACTAAATCCATAAGCGGCCTCCACATTCCAACCATTACACACGCCCACATGATTTCAACTAGTGCATGCATGGTAACTGCAACAACAAACAAAACAAACGGCCAACCAATGCTCCACTTCCACCACAAAAACATTATTGTCAAATATACATACAGCAGTCGCATTTAACTTCTCACTAAACAAAATTTGGCTTTCGGCACCAAAAAGTAAAGAAAAAAAAAAACAATTACACACTTAAACCACCAACACCCAAGAGTAAAGACACAAAAGTATCCATTCTCTAGTTAAAACTTTACAAGATGCAGAACAATACAATATTTTAACAAAAAATGCATTGGCAGAGAAACTTTTCAGCCAAAAAAATAAAAAAACAAACAATTTACAGCAACCAGCCAACAACCTAAGAAAACAATAGCTGCCTTTAGCATTTAGCATACTTTAAAAATGTTTGTGGAGTTTGCTTAAAAATTTTTATTTAAGAAACAAACATGTTAAACAAGCTTTATAAAATTACTTAATAAATCCATTCTGTATTGGTCGCATTTAGTGGTCATTTAATAACATCTCTGAAGTTTGATCATAAGTAGAGGTCACGGGTGGTATAAGTAATATTAATTATATTCTTAATTATTCATACGTACGTTAGACCGAAATAATTTGTTCGAGGAATACTGCTTGAAAATAGAAATTTTAAAATATTAATTAAGTACACTTTCCGAAGAGGGTCCGCTAGACTAGACTATAGACTAGACTAGACTAGACTATAGACTAGACTATAGACTAGACTATAGACTAGACTATAGACTAGACTATAGACTAGACTAGACTAGACTATAGACTACTAGACTATAGACTAGACTATAGACTAGACTATAGACTAGACTATAGACTAGACTATAGACTAGACTATAGACTAGACTATAGACTAGACTATAGACTAGACTATAGACTAGACTATAGACTAGACTATAGACTAGATTATAGACTAGACTATAGACTAGACTATAGACTAGACTATAGACTAGACTATAGACTAGACTATAGACTAGACTATAGACTAGACTATAGACTAGACTATAGACTAGACTATAGACTAGACTATAGACTAGACTATAGACTAGACTATAGACTAGACTATAGACTAGACTATAGACTAGACTATAGACTAGACTATAGACTAGACTATAGACTAGACTATAGACTAGACTATAGACTAGACTATAGACTAGACTATAGACTAGACTATAGACTAGACTATAGACTAGACTATAGACTAGACTATAGACTAGACTATAGACTAGACTATAGACTAGACTATAGACTAGACTATAGACTAGACTATAGACTAGACTATAGACTAGACTATAGACTAGACTATAGACTAGACTATAGACTAGACTATACCTAGACTATAGACTAGAATATAGACTAGATTATTCACTACATTTTTTATGAATAAGGCCTTTTTCACGAAACAAATAAAAATTGCATTTTTGATCTTCTGGCAAAATATATAACGATAATCTAAGATTATAAAACACATACATAAATAAACTCTTTGTTAGAACTCATACGCAAATATTTGAATTTAAAATTCTAATTGCCGTTTTCGTTTCGTTCGGCAATTGAGTAATTGCAACAACGCAATAATTTTCATTAAAAACACATTTTTTGTCCAACAATGCCAACTATTTATTAATTACCGCAATTTCAGTAATCTAATCTAAATGCTAATTTAGTTTAAACTTAATACTTTCTTACTAACCCGCCAAAAGACATACACAATGTGGCACAAGAACGGAGTAAAAAATTGAAAAGCATAAATTAAATGTAGACCAACAACAGCAGCAACAGCAGTACCAGCACTTAAAGAACCGGCAAATCCTAAACAGCAAGAACAAGAATGAACATTGAAGCTAAACTTTAAATGAGGAAACACCCATTAGTGGCCAACAAGTCACATGCTGTGATTAAACTTTTACACGTTCAAGAGAACACACACTTACAAAGAAAAAAACTTTAAGATAAAGAAATGAAATAAAAGACGACAAAGATGAAAACCAAACAAAAAAAGACTAATATCACAAAAATCTGATAAAAAATATACACAACATTTTTTTTTTCTTTGCTCCATTACAGTTCTTGTTGTTTTAGTTTTCATTCGACAAAACTGATAAACTGCAGCAAAAAAAAATAAACTAAGAAACGTAGCAACACTAATTAATTGATTCTTATCACATTGAATTGAGCTAAATTTCCCCCCAATTTTGTTTGGTACTTAAGAAAAGAAGAAAAAAAATCCAAAGTAAGAAGGATACACCTGGCGGCATGTTTAAATCTAAAGATAACAACCAAGCAAATAAACCATAATAGAGCCGCACAAAAAAAGACAAATAAATAAATACATAAAACCATTAATGGTGAAAAACAATAACTAAATGTCTGGAGGAAAAAACTTAACATTTTCCTGCAGAAGACTATTAACTAGTGTTAAGAGTAGCAGCAACATAATGCAACTATATAGTATCCTGTGCATATGCCAAGCTGCCTTTAATAGGAATAAAATCATGTAATGTTTTTCAATTCTAGCTGTGACACACAATAAAACAAACGCTTAGAAAATGTTTAAAACAATTACTGAAATTCTATGTATAGCAATCGACGACTAGTTTAATAATTGGTAATAAAAGGAAAAAGTATGAAAAACAGTAACAGCAATATAGATAAAGACACAATCAATCAAAGTACTCATGCATTAGAATGGTTTTTATTATTATTCATATCTAACAAGTAAGTGTTTTCTATAATCGGCAGGGACGAATCTTATATACCCTTCCATAGGTTAGTTAGTAGACTAGACAATACACTAATCTAAGGCTAGTCCATACACTAGGGAATAGGTTAGTTAAAAGTCTAGTAAATAACCTGGTCTATAGATAAGTCAATGTGTAATGTGTAAATTTTAAAATATATTTATTTAAAAGTTTCAAAACTATAACCACAAACACAAAATTAAAATATTTTGGAAAACTTAAACTTAGAGATCCTCCACAACTGGAACAATCCTAATGTTGATTTGTAAATACATACATATGTATCTAGACATATAACATACGCACATGCATTTACTAATGTGTAAAATATGAAATATATTATCGTGATTATACTCCCGTTGTTTGACAACATTTGACGGCACTATAATTATGTTGATCAACGCACTCTCTTCTTCATCAATTAAACAAGCCACCCGTAAATAACCAACATAGTATTGCGGCAGGTTATGGTTTTATGAAATAGTACAGCAATAACAATAATACAAGAAAGCACAATAAACTTTCAACAATTTAACAATTATTGGTCAAAACAACATTAAAAG